ATTCTGTCATTCATACCACACGTCATTCACCTTTACGATTTCTACTGTAACATTCTACAATGAGTGGCTCTTGAGGCTTTTTATAGCACGAAATTTCGTAACCCCAATTAAAAAAAAAATAGGTGTTTGATAGCGACAAGTATCTTTTAAATATCGATGTATATCTTTAATAATATATTCTAAAAACAACTTTCTCTTTTTTTATTTATTTTTTTAATGCCATATCTTGTCAGGATGTGTGCGTAGCGTAGCTGTTATCAGTACAGAAAGTGAAATCAGTGTGTCGATTTCAAATTCTGGCTGAGTTGGTTTCGTTCACGTTCTCGAAAATACCTTTTGGGAAAGGCATGAATACAACTTCTCTCCCACTGCTGTTAAATTGCAGGACTAATTGGTCTTCATTATCTTGATTGGTAACCGGTCTACGACGAGGACAACATACTATGGTCTTATTTCTCACACCGATGTGGCATTAACGAGGATAAAGCGGAAATCCCTGTTAATCCATACATCTGGATAATCTCACAACTTCATCCATTTATAAATCTATTTGCGTGTATATCTCCTTAGTTACGCTGGAGTTCATCTTTCTAGAGTGTCGTTATTGCATAGCTGAAACATTAAAGACATGATACATAGACCTTTTTTTAACGGTCAGTCTACTATTTGTAAAATCGACAATAGATGATTTTAATATAATATGAAAATAGCTCTTCCTCCAGAGATACGTTTGGTTCATCAGACCCCATAGATTAAATTTAAAGAAAACGATGTCACCATTTGCTAATCAATGATTTCCACTGATTACTTCAAATGATTGACATATCGATTCGAAAAAAACAATACCGTACATTTATTTCTTAATTTGTTTTTTATTAATACTTTTTGTTACTTTACACTGGCTAATTTAAGATACTTTCTGCTTTTGGTACTGCGGTAATAATGAAACGATTTCTTTTTGCCGTCGTGTTGGTTAAGGACTTCTGACGTGCTTACCCCTTTAATACTGATTCGATTTTTGCCATTGAAAATAAGGGAGGAAAATGAATCGATTATTGATTGCTGCATAAAATAATGGAAAAGAAAAAAGACTACTGATACATTAAGAACATCTCAGGAAGTCCATAACTGGGATACAAAAGACTGAGATCACTAGAGAAAGCTCACTCAATGTAATCTGCTCGATAACAATATAAGAAAAATCGTTAAACATCGGCAAACGTGCCCTCAATGAGACGGAATGACAAAAGAATGGTTTTTCTATTACCATCGTTATTATTTTAACTCCCATCGCTCTTCTGTAATGTTTGTTTTAAAAAGCGATGATGAGAATGCATATGTATAATACGACACACACATCTCTCTCTATCTATCTATATATATATATATATATATATATATATATATATATATATATATATATATATATATATATATATATATATATTTGTAACATACTTACGGGTGATAATGGTTATATCCCCATTCACATAAATACAGTAGTAAATACTGTATGTTGGTATGCAGTTGGAGATTTATTGTGGAATTCAGTTGACTACTACTTTCACGCGCCGCTAGCGAATCTTATATTATATGTTCTTGTCCTAAGTATTATCGTTCATTACCAACCATCGTTGTGATTATTTTGTTCAAACCTGCCCTAGGTTACAACACACACACACACACACACATATATATATATATATATATATGTGTGTGTGTATGTAATTTACGTTTTTTGTGTGTGAGTAAAATCACGAGTGCGTCAGTCGTTCACTTTTGAACCGACTGTTCGGTTGAACTCTCTTCCTACGGACAGGAGGAACCCGAAGGAGGCTACGCCGAAGGGCGAGTCTCCTTCGGGAGGTAATCCGGCCCTGAACCCGTATATACGGGTTCAATGGGCCCTTTACAACCGAGCCCACGGGCTCGGAATGCCACGTTAAAAAGGCCTTGTGCCACATGACACCCTCGTCCTCGTGGTGGGGTACTCAATATCGTAAAAATCACGATGACCCCCACACTGACATGCTAACTTGGTCCCGTTGACGCGTACTGATATCGCTATCAAAGAGAGTTCATATATATATATATATATATATATATATATATATATATATATATACGCCATATATCTTCAAGAATGCTTTGTTCGTTTTAGAAATTCGTTTTAAACTTTAAAATTATAATTAAAAAAAGAGGAACAATACTTGTAATAATTCATTAGTCATCAAAAGTAATTTTTTTTTACACACTACATCCTTCATTTTATTATTTTTGATCGCAATTATAAGCTGATACAATTAAATAAGTAGATAGTTATAATGCAGTTTTTATGTTACGATTCGAAGTATATCTTCTGGAATTTGGTAATATCTTGAGAAATTTTTTTTTTTTAAAAAAGCAGACTCTGAAATTACAGATTGAATCTACGGACTGTCAAGGATTACTCAGACCTTTCAAAGTTTACATAAAAAATATTATGCTTCGGGAACTTTTACAGTAAACATAATTTTCGTTGTAAATATATAACATTTATGAGGATAATATACGGATATCTTTCCTTAGGTATTTATAAATTGTACACTGTTCAATTATTAATGTTAACAACGAACAATTTTAAATTACAAAACTATACTTCGATTAAACGAAAATTACAATATTAAACATATTACCTATATGCATTCCTTCTTGCTGTCAATTTTGACGGCACGGGTACACTAATGTGTAGTAAAGCTTAAACATATGAAAGTGAATTTATACATTTTCTTTGAGAATTTACAACGAAAATAATAAACACTATATATTTATTTATCAAATTGTTTATTTACACAATCTATTAGATTATTATTTATTGGTACGGTTGGCAAATCATCGGCTATTTGCCAATTGATTCGAGCTTTATAAAATGGTAAATAATGATTTACTTATAGTTGGTTTACATATTATTAATCATTTAGTAAATGTTTATAAATTTATCTATAAAAAAATTCGTATTTATTTCTTTATAAATTTGTAAATGTTAAATATTGTATTGGTTTTAATTGTATTAGGTTTCAGAATGCTGTAAATATAATATTTTTGTTCTAAATTCCCAGGAACAAAAAATGTATAAATTCACTTATCATATGTTTAGATTTTATTCCAATTCTAATAAATAATCTAAAACAATAAATATTACCGAAGAGGGAATTACATGGGTCAAATCCGGCATTTTGAACGTACGTCTTATTGCGGGCACGTTTATCCATGTTTGCCGAAAAATCTTCCTTTACCTCAGGTCTCCGGTAAAAGTTTTGGTAAATTATTGTATCAAAGAGTAAATTGCTAGGTCTGCTGATAGCAAAGCTGGTTCACTGTATCGTGCTAGACAATTTTTCTCATCAGAATCCACTTTACATATTTATAAGTTGAGCATTACGTCCATGTTTTGAATATTGCTGCCACATCTGGTCTAGTGCTACTCCTATATATTTAGGGAGTCATGGTAAAATCTAAAGAATCTGCAATGTTATTGGTTTTGACCTGGCATCTCCACTTCAGTCACTTTTTCCACCGCCGTAACGTAGGCTCCCTGTGGCTTTTCTATAAATACTTATATAGATATAAGTGAACAATGAAGTCAACACCCAGAGGCGACAGACTGTTTCATGCTAGACGAAATCATCAGTCGTCTAGCATGAAACAGTGTGTCGTCTCTGAGTGTTGACGTCAATGTTCACTTATATATTTATATATTACGCTCTATCACTAATATTTAACACTTTATTACATAAATATAGCATACCTTAAAATAATATATATATATATATATATATATATATATATATTAGTGGTAAATACACATACTTATGCAATCATATATACATACACACACACACACACACACACACATATATATATATATATATATATATATATATATATATATATATATATATATAATATTGATCATATTTACGATTCCAATGGAATAAATTAGGACCATGGAATATTAGTATTTAAGCCTTTTTACTATATATATATTACTGTCCTAATTTTTTATCAGATTCATGGCGTTTCGACCTTCTTCAGGTGACCGGAATTTCCAACCGAACCCTTTATTTCGTCAACCAGTGTAGATTCTTCTAGTTCCACGTGCCATGCCTTTTCTGGATATTTCAGTTTCAGTTATTTCCCCTTAGTAACTCAAGTCTTCAAGATTTTGTTCGCTTCTGCCGTGACCAGGAATTGAACTTGCAACCCTTTGTGTCAAGTCACTGGATTACTTCAACCAATGCTTTTATCCACTGGGCCATGTGTCCTTGGAAACACCGTGACTACAACAAAGATGAGGACAACACTCCGGAGAATGTCAATAGTTAACATACCTCATCTTAATAATAGACGTGTGTGTTCGATCCCAGTTCTGATAAACTTTCCCCTACCCTACCTAGACTTTATAACTTGAAGTGCAGTACGAGATTAGCGGCAATGTCCCATCACTTTATAATTAAAACGGCTAGATGCAACCGTAAGTTCTATGCTTACAGTTTCTTCTTTCGCACTTCTCGTTTATGGAACCCTCTTTCTCTGTTTTGCTTGCCAGTCAATTTTGATCTTCAAAAATCTAAATGCAATGTCAATCGTTATATTCTGTTTTAATTCTTTTTATTGTTATCTCTCTCTCTCTCTCAATAGTGTGTTTTTCTCCTATCCTCTCACATTCGGTAAATCTTTGCGTCTTAGTGGCATTATTACCTTTATTCGTTTTTTTACGACTATTAACACCTTACAGGTTATTTAAAGCCAGAAAATATTTTTTAGATTGTAACAATTTGTGTGGGGATAATAATGGCTTAATGTAATTAATCCATAGCTAAGTAGAAAAGAGGTGGATTCATAGATTTTCCAAGGATATCTGCGAGTAATTGAATATAACGAACCCAACTGGAATTGGAACTCGGCTCTCTGATTAACAATTCCGAGCCATTATCTATTACACCACCCGCGCATCCAAGCTTACAGCGCCTGGGATTTCGAAACGGTCACTCATCTAGGTATTGAACAAGATCGACGTTGCTTAACTTCGATGATCGTACGGGAACCGGTGTTTTGAATGTGATATGGCTGTAAGCCGCCTTTCATGAAGTGAAATGATTGAAAAAAAAATGGTAACAAAAACGTTGTTATTGCTACTAATGATGAATTAAAGCACTACAAACGTTATTACCCACGGATCTCTTAATGATTCTACGGAGATAATGTTGCATTAGATAAACGTTAAAATAAATAAAAACGAGTTTTGACCAGGAAAATTTGATTTTGAAGAAATATAAGGATAGCGTTTCGAGTCTCTTATAAATTTTGACAGTAGATTAAAACTTTTAAAATTATTTATAGCATTGTTGCCTGACTGTGCTGGCCTGTTTAGCATATTGTAATTTATTGGAAATAAATGACTGAAGACGCCCACGGTAATTTTTACTTTGGTTTCGATCAAATATTCTATAGTACAGAATAAACTAAATACCCCTACACACAATATTATAAAATATGACACAAAACAGATCGTATCGTAGGCTAATATATGTCAACGCTGATTTGGAAATAACACTAAGCGTTAGTGAGTTTATAATATAAACGACAGGGATCCAAACCTGCACACTTTGTAAGGGATACGGATACAGGAGATGCACTCCATGTCGTACTATGTGATGTACAACACGCTAGGGTCACTTGACGTGTGCTGATATCTGGATCGTCTCCTACAACCTGTAGAATATATTCTTCGTGGTCAGGCGTACGAGCGGATCTCTGTCTTTCTCGATCCATAGTTTGTGATGCCATGGATCCTGTCTCAGCAACGCAACAATATACAGCAACAAAGGTTGGTTGAGTCGGCTGCCTTCAGTCTGGAAACGCAATCTGATACAGCCGTGCAGCCTCGCCTCCATTACCAATCGCGCAGACGTATGTAAAAATCATGTCTGCCTGCTCACGATATGAATATCCTGCAATTGTTAATCGAAACACTTCTCAGTTAACTCACTAACTACATACGTTAAAAGTTGAAGACAGACTAGCCACAAATGTACACGAGTGCCGATTCATTGTTTGTCTCTTCAGTTTGTTTTATGGATGAGGTAGCATTTGGAAGAGATGGAATAACAAATTTACACAACCAACATTTGTGGGCGGATCGATTACAGGCTAGGCGTCAGCATCAGTTTAAGAATAATGTGTGGGTTGGGATTATAGGTGACTGTCTGGTAGGTCCATATGTTCTCCCAGCATGTCTTACAGGAGCTACCTACTCGGACTTTATTTCGAACACACTCCCAGACCTGCTAGAGGATGTACTCCTGCTAATACGATGACGCATGTGGTTCATGCATGATAGGGCTCCAGCACATTTTAGTAACATTGTTCGTGATGCACTGGCTGACATCTACCAAGAAAGATGGATAGGTAGGAGAGGATCGGTTCCATGGTTTGCACGTTCCGCTGACCTCAATCCTTTGGACTTTTATCTGTGAGGCCACCTAAAACAATTAGTTTATGCAGCAGACATTAATAATGCAGAGACACTTCAACTTCGAAGTGGGGCTGCGAAACCATTCGACACCGTCTGGGTGTATTTGAATGGGTCCGCCAGTCAATGATCCGACTGTTGCATGCGTGCGTAGAAGCAAGCGGAGGACAATTTGAACATTTGAAATAAGTTGCTGTGTTGAGGTACAACGATGGCCTTTTGGAGATCTGTTTATATGAACATTTTACCTTGTTTTGGTGTTAGGAACCCACCCCAAAGTGTTATATACCCTGTATGTTGACCATGTTCGCCATAGTCTATGAATATAGAATACAACGCAGTACGTAATCTGTTCAATGAAACAACGTTAAAGATTAACACTCACTAGTCAGACACTCTACTGAATCTGACTATATCTCCAATACCACCAGCTGTTCCGTAATTCTTCAGTCTTCGATATCAAAGACTGGCAGTGAATATTCTGGAAAAACATGTCCGCCTTTATACACGTCGCATTGAATATTTTGAGCCTTTTGATTGGTTCACCCTATTTTTGGTGAACGATAAAACGAGTCAGCTCATTTTGGCTGGCTCACTAGTACACCAGGGTACCCAAAAACTCCAACACTATATATATATATATATATATATTATATATACAACGTATATATATATATATATATATATATATTTAGGAAACGTCGATCCGATCCGAGTCTACATGATAACACAGCGCCATCTACCGTAAAATTTATTTAAATATAATAACTCAAAAAAGAAGGATTTGCGGATGTATATTTATATGGATGTTGGTACTTGTTTTCGTGTGAGGAACCCGCCCTCGAAGTTTGTAAAAGTATTTTTTGATATATATATATATATATATATATATATATATATTATATCTATCTATATATATTGAGCGCTTTCTAATAAGTACCGCGCATATAATATATATATATATATATATTTCTTTACAGTTTTCTAGTCAGATTCTTGATGTTAAGATGAAATTAATCAAAAGAGGCACCGTAGTTTTTTCTGACCCAAATATTTTCGATTTTTTCAAAGATGATTTTCAGAGGTAAATTACAAAGACAAACTTATTGCAATAAAATCTGCATGATGAGTTTTAAAACACGCGCTGCACGCTGTTATAGTTATTTTTATAATTTTGATTTATCCGTTGTAGCGTTGTGGCATTAAATGTTTAACTCCACTTTCATATAGTACTATGGCGCCTTTCTTGATGAATTTCATCTTAACATCAATAATCTCTGTACAAAACTATTTAGACACAATATGACTATATTATTCAATGAAACATGTTTAAATGACATATAATTCTCAAAATGTGTGTATGTGTGTGTGATCGGATGTTGTTTATGCATTTCCTCAGTTTTCATCCGATTTTGATGAATTTTTTTTGTTTGAAAGATAATTCTTCAGCGCCAGTTATTAGTCCAAATTGGCTGAAAAAATTACAACCTTATATTATATATTATGTTTACAGGTTTTACTTTCGTCCTGTTCCTATATATATATATATATATATACATCCTCAGGTATGGAAATAGATTTTATATATATTATTTTACTTCTCATATATAATATATATATATACAACGAAACTAGAGATGTAATCCGAAAATATATATATATATATATATATATATTTATATTATATATATATATATATATATATATATATTATATATATATATATTATATATATATATATTTTATATTATATATATATATATATATATATATATATATATATATTTTTATATTATATATATATATATTTTATATTATATATATATATTTTTATATTATATATATATATATATAATATAATATATATATATATATATATATATATATATATATATATATATATATATATTTTTTATTATATATATATATATATGATATTATATAAATATATATATATATATAATATAATATATATATATATATATATATATATATATATATATATATATATATATATATATATATATATATATATAAAGGTGCAAGTTTCATTAAAAACTACTGACAAGGTACTGTTAAGTTTTTTATTTAATTTTTCATGTGTTCTCATAATTTTTTTTTTTCTTTTCTGGACGTAGCATATAAAAATTGTCCAAATTGTATGAATAGTTTTATGTATATATCGAGTTATACATTTCACCTCTTTTTTACATGTTGACAAGACTATTATAATTGTATTATCAACGTGTATAATGTGTATGGAGTTTGGTAGGTCACCATGCGTATTTAAATGAGAGATGTAACGTAATTCTTCTTGTTAGTTATTTTGTAGTATATCTAATATTAATATTAACAAATTTTGATTGATCAGGAACACACTTACTTAACCCCTTCCCCACCAATTATTTTTTAGAAAAACGTTTCATTTTCAGACAAATTTTTGTTTCCAATATAGTAACTAAGGAACTGAGGCACCTTGAAGTACCTGAGCGGTGGCTAACACATCTACCAGACGTATGAGTTGATAATTGGGCTCATTTCAAGCTCAGAAGGGTAGAAAAAGAATCAAGATCGACGTATAAACACGTCTCTAGCCAGTTTTTGAACGTTATGTTTTGAACATATTCATTCGTCCGTATCAAAACAAAAAAAAACGTATAAACACGTCTAGGCCTGGGAAGTTGATAAGGGAGATATATGGTCAGAGTTGAATTGGACCAGGAAGTAGTAGTATTAAAAAGTAATCAATACACGTGTGAAAAAAGTAACATTTAGAAAAAATCTATTACGGTATCCTTAGACGATTTTTATCAGTTGATCTCCTAATGCTTTCCACAATAACATTTGGAATCTCTGCCAGCAGAAAAAAATTAGCAGTAATGATATTTCCGTTCCCAAAAAGGATTTTGAACCAAAGATCCGAAGTCACGAGCTGTTGCATACATACAAAAAATCCTGTTAAGCTCACATGAGGCTGGTTTAAAAGAAGTATGAATATTTCAATTACCCACCACCGATACATGTATAATACCCTTACTTTTCTCCTCCTCACACTTCTTTATCTCTTTTTCTTCGCATCCTCCTCCTCCTCCCTTTCTATCACACCCAACTCCGTGTATTTATTTTTTAAAATAATATTAGTTCTTTGGTTTTGTTTTTTTTTGGGGGGGTGTTTGTTTTTTAATAAAGCGTTGGAAGGTCAATTGATAAAAATCGCCTGAAGATACCGTAAGATTGAAACCAAAGTGTGTGTGTGTGTGTGTGTGTGTATATATATATATGTATATATATGTGTGTGTGTGGAATAACAACCAATACATTTTTATATATCAAGAACATTTTTCTCCAAAAATGTATGACAAAGTGGAAAAAGTTTTCGTGTGACGCGTTTCATTGGTGCGCATGCGTAGTCGCATCAAATTAAACAAATCTAGTTTGATGAAGTCCTAAGGAATGAAACGGGTCACACGAAATCTTTTTTGACATCCTTAGTGTCCGTCTGTAGAACCTCATTTAATCATCCTAAATGAATGATTTAAAGAAATTAAACTTTATTTTTAATTCTGCACTCGATTACTTTGTTAAGAATTTTATTTCTTTC